AAAAAAAATGATATGCTCCAATAACTAAACACAAACCTCCGACAATAATGTTAACCTCTAAGCAATCTCTGAAAATATATATATATTTTTTTGTGCCCGTGCCTCGCCTTTAAACAGAGCGTAGAAAAGCATTTAGGAAAATGACATAAAAGCACGACTGCCCAGCGTGTCAATGGGAAACAGTTTTCCACATACAATAATGTACTCCTGCCAGATGCTAACTGAACACTTTGAATTCGCAAAGCAAATGGCAATCTGGTTGCTAGACAAATTGTATTAATGACCAGTTTACAGGATGATGAGAGACCACAAATATAGGATCTGTGTTACAATAAAGCGCTATCACTTTCACAAATGATCGAAAATGATACATCGTCCCATAGTATTTACAGAGGAAAACCTGCCATCTGATAACATTTACATTGATGCATGTGCTGTCACATCTAGGGACACTGATTCAGGGCACACGTGATCTAGCACTATTCAGGATTGTACTGACAGCAGCTAGGCCATCGGATAACATGAATTGTGTTTTTGTTTTAACGGGGTAGTAAAAGAAAAATATACGTTAATATTAACAAAAATGTATTTATGTTACTAATCAGGTTTTTTTGAGAAATAAAATGTTGCAAACCGTAGGCAAGGAAAACTGCATAAAATAAGCTACAATTAGGGATCAATGGGACCAAAAGTAAGAGATATAAATTGTGTAAAACCTGTATTCAGAGGATTGGAACAAAAATGAATAAAAAATGTAAACACATACACACAAAAAAAAAAATCTCCTGTGTGTTCACTGTTCTGCGGCATGTATTATCCTGGAAACTATTGTGTGCCTATTTGTCTTCATTTGTTTTAGGTGTATCTGTTTGCTTTTGATTACTGCATTTCAATATTAATATGAAGTCAATACAGAGTTTATGCTATGATATGGTATAGTATGGGCTATGGCATTAGTTAGACCTATTTTTAATGGTAACTCTCAAGCAACCAGAAACTACATTTTATCCGGAATCTACCAATCCCTGTGGATGCCGGATAACGGGGAGTTTACTGTATAACATTTTTTTTTTTGTTTAATTATACTTACTTGAATATCTATTATAGAGTCTTGCAGCCTGTATCAATCACACTATAAAGGAGCAGTATTTCCCCAGATTTATTTAGTATGTTTAAAGAAACTGCACCACTCGAAACCATTTATCGAGGAAATGCAAGATAGATTTAAAAATTTTTTTGGAACTTGTTGCTACTGTTTAATAAATCGCATACAACATTTTAGGTGAGCCTTGACAAAGCAGTTACAATGAAAACAAAATATTAAAATACAAAATATTAACTTGTCTGATATTCTGCATTAGAAACAAAAGAAGAAAAATGTGAAACACACACACACGTTGTTCATAAGAATTATAATATGTTAATTTGCAAAAATGAAACCGACTTGTGCATTGAATTTTAACAATGAGAAAAGCATGTACGCATATTTTTCTTTTTTGTACCCTCCCTGAAAGTAGAGCACAAATTTTGCATGTCTGAAAAGAAAAAGAAAAAAAAAAAAAGAAGGCTTCGTCTTAAGGAAAGAAGAAAAAAAAAAATCTTGTGTTAAATGGGATGGAAACCGGACTAAGTGGTCAAATGACAAGTACATTCATATTCAAGATGTATTATAAATGCATGTACAGTAATTTACGTCTCTCCGAGACCACAAAAGGCTCTTGATAAGCAGGTAATTTGCTAAATGGACTCCTTTATCTGAGTATTCGAAGGGCGTAACAAGAAAAGTCTACAGAGGCATTAATGTGACGTAAAGGTCAAGCATTATGACATACCTTTCAAACAGTCCCGCCTAACTTGATATGCCAGAAAGCGATTGAAGAAAAGATTATCCATGGTGGAGTCATTGAAGTGGCTCTTGGCGCTAAAAGAGGCAGACAGTCAAAAAGGCATTACTGACATGCTTCTGATAGGATAATGATCGGTTGAGCTCGAAGGTGAAATTACAAAAACTACTGTTCATATGTTAAAAATATTGCTGGAAAATATCGACCTGGAGACAGCTTTTGTGCTAAACTGTCAATGGTTATAGAATAATTATTTTTCTCCCCCCTACTCTCTTTTCTTTTTTTCTCCCTCTTTATGATCTGACAGATGACAAAGTTGAAAATGAGCGACAAAAAGGAAACAAAGTAACGAGATTTTTTCCTTTTTAAACAATCTGCTCGGATTCTGCAAAGCTGACATATTAGATGACTAAAATAACCACATCTGTTATGTCTTTTCAGTCTATATCATGAAAGATACCCTCTTGATGCTCATTTACATCATCCTTCACTGTAATTATAAAGCAGAACACCAAGCAGGAATATCGGGTTTTTTTCTTCCTTTTTTTTTGATGGGTCGGTTACTGCTACTGAAATTGACTGCGGGAATTAACACAATGTTTTTGGATGATTAATTTTCGCATTACAGTCAAGGAGAACCATATAATCACACAGATCTTCGGAAGAGAAAAAAAAAAGGATTTTTTTTATTACGCATGCTTTCCTTTATACAGTTTAATCAGGCTTTTTGTGCGGACTAGCTGGATTGAGTGGTGGAGAATTTTTTTATTTTCCAGTGTGCTGCCCTATCAATGTTTACCTTTCTTCTGATATTTATCATTTGATCTGATTGGCCATTTTTTTGTTTTGCCTTGTTGGATTTAATACACACTGGGGGAGTCTTCAACTGCCTTATGCTGGGTTCACACCATTTTCCAGACCAGATCTGGAACAGAGTGCATTGCGTTTTTGCCGCAATTGGAAATGTTATTTTACATTTATTTTCTTTTGTAGCTTACAATGGTCTCACAGGTGCATTCCAGTGTGTTCCATGCGTTTTTGATGCATTCCAGTGCATTCCAGACCAGACAAAATAGGGCAAGCAGTATTTTTCTGGTCTGGTACGGACTGCCCTGTGGGAACAGAGCCCAGAAATAGCATAGGGATACATTGGGATGCATTTTTGGTCCCGAAACAGTCTGGTGGTAATCTGGATGTGGTGTGAATGGGTACCTTAAACCAGAAGTCTGGGGAATTTTTTTTTTTAATTAACCTTGTACTGCAAGGGTTAAGTGCTTGTTTTAGTCTACGGAGAAAAATAAAGTTATACCCACCTAAAACTCGGAGCCAGCTGGCTGTGACAGTGCTCCCACCCGCTTGTCTCCTCCTCCTCCTCTACAGCGATGGTATGTTCCTCTGCATCCTCACATCCTATACACTCTGTATAGAACGTGATTACTCAAGGACCTTAGACCACTGCATCGGACCAGTCTAAGAGCAAGCTGCCTCAGAGGACCAAAGTATAGCTTTGTATTTTCCTCCCTAGACCAAAACGAGCACTTAACCTCTTGCAGTGGGGCTACCACTGGGGGCAGATAAAAAAACATTTACCCGGAGTTCTTCTTTAAAGTGTATGGTATGTAAACGCTAACAATTATTATTATTTTTTTTTTTTTTATTGGTTCTTCTTTGATCTTTTTAATATACCACTGAATGCATTTTGTTTTATTTGCTCAACAACTGCAAAATGTACCTGTTCATCTTGTGAGCTGATACATTTTGTACACCGTTTGTGCAGCACTCTTACCAGGTAACTTTTGCCAGTTTTCTTGGCAGACAACAGAGTAAACTAATTGAAGGTTGTCACCCTAGGACAGCAAGTGTGTTATTCGCCACATCACTAGGAAACAATTAAGAGGAAAAAAAACTAATGCAGCTAACACATCTAACCACTGGTAAGCTACACTAAAATGGAGGGGCCTTAAGATACATTTTAAGCAAATTTAGGCTTTTGGTGTGTTGCTGTACCTTCAAAAAGGATGTGCTTACCCTCCATGTCACGCCTTCTCTCAATTTAGTAGTGCGACATATAAAAGTGTGTGTGTTATTTTGATCTAGGGACCACACTTTGCAGAGGTGCCTTGGCATGGCACTGGGGCCTAATATGTATATGAAAACAAACCAGAAAAACCTCTGATTTAACCTAAATGTTGAACTAGCTTGATTAGGATTATGTTGCGTCTTGGCTGGAGAGTATGGGTTAGTATTTTTGTATTGTTTTCTGTACTTTCCCACACATATTGTGAGACCACTATGTGAATAAAGAGAACCTGACGTTCTGAACTTTGGAGTGCCAGTGATTTCTTCGATTATTTACAGAGGGAGATCAGCACATGTGAAAGCTGTCATTTATGCGGCTTCTGTAGCCAAAGAGAAGAGGAAAAAGAAGATCTGCGCTTTATCAGCTTCTTTGGGGGTTCCGAGGTGACACTAGGGATCTTATAGACCTCTGTCTCCATAAAGAGGAACTCCTGCTATATATTTGCTATCACATAGGGGGAGTCCACCATCTCTTTTTCTGCAGCCCCTGTTATAAATAAACAGGAATCCTCTATGAGTATTCCTGTTCATTCATAACATGAGAACAGTGTATGTTTACTATAACCACAATCATGAATGAACAGGAGGTGATGTAGATCACTTCCCATTCATTCATAATTGAGGATATAGTCAGCATACTCTGTCCTCAATTATGTACAAACACTCAGCGATCACTGCTCTCCTTCCCGACAGCTGTCACAGGAGGCTGAGCGAGTTGTGCGGGAGGAGAGCTCAGCCTCCTGCGACAGCGCTGGCTGTCTCCGCCCACACACTCCTGTCACAGATCGGCAGATCGGTGTGGGAGGAGAGATGCCGGCTGCTCACAGTGCTCGGCCGCCTGTGACAGTTTCTCTCCTCCCCGCTGGGACACAAGAGCAGTGCCCAGTGGGGAGGGCAGAAAGAACAGATGCACCGCTGTAGCGGCCAGAAAATTGCACTTGTGGCTCAATCTGGAGCTAGTGGCAGTAAAACATTTACGTGCAAGTGCCTTAATCTTGCGTTAAAGTAAATGCTTTGCACAGGATTGTTTTCACTAGGTGGTTAAAAAAAATATTAAAAGTGAAAAGAAAAAAAGAAAAGTGACCCCAAAAGGACACATGGCAAAAAAGAAAAAAAAAAGCCTGAAAAGTGTAGCCATTCCCTAAAAAAGCTTTGGTTTTTTATATACTTTAATGATCATGATTATCAATATTGATGAAGCTGGGCTTGGTGCAAAACCAGCTCATCTGAGTTCACCCAGGCCCGCTCATAACACGCCCTCTCCTCCCAACCTAATCAGTTATGGGGAGGCACATTCCCCGCCCCACTGCTATACATCACAGATTGCCCCCACCATAACTGCCGCCAATGACTGGATAAGGAGGAAGTGGTGGAGGTCAGAGTTTTGAGTGGGCTTGGGTGAGCTGGGTTCACAACAAGTCCAGCCTCATCTTTAATCATCAAGTACCTGCTGAGACAAACTCTCCCACCTCAAAGTGGTACTCAGCATGCCTGTTTAGTGATTTGACTGGCTGTAATTAAAGACTGGATACAAGGTATTTTCCAATGTGCTCGTAAATTACTTCTAACAAACTTGGGATGGGTTGCAATCTCCCATTTGTACCAATGTCATTATTGATACACGGAATCATTACACAGTGGAAAAAGCTCAACTAGGCTACAAACTTACAGGCCCACACAGTTGACAGCACCCCTGTACGAAGCAAAAATGCATGGCGTCTCACCTGCTGTCATACTCGCACATCTCAAAATCCATAGCACTCTTTGTGCGCTAATGACAAAGGGTTTAATAGCAGAAAGCCAAGACAAGCTTTCAAATTAAGAAGGAGCCGAGCTGGCCCCTGCATCTGTTTTTCAGCATCTGCCAAATGCACAGACCACTAATGAAATCCCAGCATAACTTTGCAAAGTTCCTCCCTAGATTAACAAAAGCAGCAAAAAAAAATCTCCTGCAGCAGGGAAAGCAGTGAGAGTAGCGAGGGGATAAAAAGGTCACTGTCATTTAGAGTATCAACAATCAAGATAAATCACACTGATCGTCTTGAGGCTAACCAATTGAGCAGTCTATTCTACCTACTGAAACTTATGCACTGAGCAGATTGGGAAGTAAGCAGGGTCATTGCTAAATTATTCCCATCAATCCTGCGAAATCCTTTGCCGACACAATATGACCATCCTCTCTCAGTCACTTTCAGCTTCAGGGGGGTCAGAAATAGTCATTGGACTCTGGATTTTCTTAGCAATCCCCTTAATCCCTGCCTAAGCACTCATTGCTCAGTTCCCCTTCTTACTTTGTCCCATCTGTCGGAGGCCTTAAATCAACATTTCACGCGGGAGGGCTGTAAATTACATGAAGCTCGGGATTTACTTTCCCCCAATCTTTCAATCTTCAGTGTGATTAAATAGATGTTAGCCACTGTTACAGGCCTAATCTTTCATTCCAATACTGCGACATCTCTAATTTCTCATTTCCCAGACTAGCTCTATATAGACGACACAAAACTCATTAGTAATGCAGCAAATCTGCTACCAGCTTGTCAGTCTATATCCTGTATATGAACAAACAGCTATTACAGAGTATATTCGGTGTAACTGCAAATGAAAGTCAGTGGAACAACTCTCCCTTGTTACTATGAAACAAAACTGATTCTGTTAGTGACATGAACCGCTTGGTAGAGTGTAAAAAACACTTTATGTAGGCAACCTATGTACTCAGAACTGGTGTACATGTCTCTCAATCTTCTCACGTATATACACAAGTAGAGAAGAACTTTCAAACTGATACCTTTCAATGGATAAGTAAAAATGAGGTATGCACAGAATTTTTTTTTAGCCGAAAACGGTACTAAGGGCAAAATGCCGATAGTACCAAAACTGCGACTGAAAATAAGGTGCATCTTTAACTTCTTTCCTGGCCGCTGGTCTGTGTCCCCTCCAATCCCCACTGCTCCCCCCCCCCAATCCTAAGTTGGCAGGGGCAGCGGGGATCGGAAGGGACACAGGCCACCATCCAGCAGTGAGGAGAGAAACTGTCAGGAGGCTGAACGGTGTAGTGTGGGTAGGAGAGAGCTGTCAGCTGCCATAGGAGGCCAAGTGGGATGGTGCGGGAGGAGAGCCTCCTGTGGCGATGCTTGACAGAGTTCTCCTCCCCACTCGGCCTCCTTCCTCCCGGCTGGACGCTGCTCTGTTTCAGAGGGGACACAGAGCAGCACCCAGCGGGGAGGAAAGAAAATATGCACCAGTGAGCATGAACCTTGCTGATTGCTGAGCTATAGGCCCGATTCTTCAGGGGGGTGTGCCGGACCTATGCAGAGAGAGCACTGCTTCCACATAGAGAGCAAGGAGCAGGGGACAGTTTTTTCAACTTAGGCCATGACTGTTTTCAAAAGAGAAAATGTAAAAACTTGCACACCTTTTGTTTTGATGCACATAGTTGGCTATATATTGTGCAAGAGTTACAAGCATTAGAGTCCCGCCTGCAAGAACTGAGCCATGTTAGTGTTAACCAAACATCAAATATGAGTATATCCGACTTTAGAAAATCTGTGTGATCAGAACTTGATGGTTAACGCCAACAGCAACACACAGTTGAAATAGGTTTAGGTGAACCATTTTATCTGCTAAAACAAAATTCTAAATTTGTGACTCAGAAGTCCCTGCCAGATAGCAGAGCCAAATCCTAACTTTTATTGGTGTGATCCACTAATTTAAAAGCAACCTAAATGCTGGGGAAACCATTTTGAGGTATTCTAGGGAATTGTTCCCACCATGTCGACCTATCCCTGATCAATAGCTCATAACACAGAAAGTAAGAGATTCTTAAACAATCAATACTCACACTTCGTCTACTTTCCATGCATCTTCAAACAGGTCAGCATACAGCAGTCCCTTAGAAAGCCTTGAGTATGAGGATTTGCAAAGACGTTGATTGTTCTGCTCAGCCTCCAGAAACACATTGTACGCCTCTAAAAAGAAACAGATGTCAAATTTATTTTGCCTTCAGTACAGAAATGTTCTAATATAGGTGGACTTAGAGGTGGACTTTTTTTACTAACCATTATGATCACCCAACCTGATTATATAACTTAATCTTGTGGTACTTTAAGTAAAAAATACTCTGTTTTGGGTTGAGGGGTATATAGAATAAACCACAGCTCTGCAGAAGATCCTTCTCACCTTAACCCACCATTAAAAACTGCAAAGCTCTGATTTATTAGTGACTTTGTTTAGTGACTGGTGCAGCTGCTCTTATCACTGGGAAGTGCATCTGAATCTGTAATTGAGGGGTATATAACAGTCATGATACTACAAGCTTTCTTCCCTGTGCCACAAGTGTAAGTCATGATAACACAATGGTGCTTTATTTTGGGAGGTACACAGCACTTCTTCGACTGATATTCAGTAAACTTGCCGAGACAAATGCCGAAACATAGGTGAAGGAACACGCAAAAAAACCCACTTAAACTGTTCCCTAAGTTAGTGTCCAAGTGCTACTTAAAGCATTAAAAATGCTAAATGTAATTTAAGTCATACCTGTGGTATCAGCTACTGGTAGTTTACACTAGAGCCGGTATATTTCCCTACAAGCCAGTTGTGCACAGAAACTCGAAACCCTTAGGTCTCACCTAGAGGGCAGGTGGGTACCACAAGTGTTGATAAATTGCCCGTTATTATTATACCGGTTGCTGTGGAATAATAAGGTTTGTTCAAAAGGATGTGCCCTGGTCTTTTTATGCAGAGGAAAAAAACAAAAACAAACCTTCAACTGAGGACTTATTTTAGAGAGAGTTGGCCCCTTATTTTTTTGATCTGTGATTAAATTGAGTCTCCACTGTGTTTCTCACTAAGTTGGTTGGCTTTTTGGCTCCTTTTAGCCCACCTTGACATAAGTCTTCTAGTTGTTCTATTGTGTTGGTCCATAAGCCCTACTCCATAGATGCCATGGTTTCCATACAAAATCAAAACAAATTGCTGAGGAGCGCAACTACCTAGATGCAAGCTAATAAACAAATTGGCTAACAATGGAGCAACAAAATAGGCTGAGACACATGAATATCATATTGCAGTGTTGACAGCCATACTATGACTGGCCCTATGAAATAGAACCAATGGTAAGTAACTTACAGTTGGGATGTGAGCAGGCGTGCCCGGGGGTCTCCCGCAGGTTTCCATACACTCTACAGATGATGGCCAACTTGCCTGAAGCAGGTGTAGGCAGTTTGGAACAAATTACCCTATAACAGTACCAGGCTAAATCTGTGCTATAAGCCAACGGTGCTGGATGTACAGTGGGCCACAGGGGCATTAACCTCTTGCCGTCCGCCCGTAGTAGAAAAACGGACGGACGGCACTGCTGCATCTGCGGGTTGCCGTCTCCAGACGGCAATTTCTTTCTGCTCGCGCGCGCCCCCTAGCGGGCACGCACGGGCAGAAAAGACCCGATCAATGCACACACCCGTTACCGGGTGTTTCACATATAGGCGATCAGCGGGTCCATAGCCCGCCGATCGCCTATATGTGCTCGTTCGCGGCACTATTACATCACTGTGTATTACATCACTTCCGCATTCACCTGTCAGTCATCTGGCTGCTATAGCCAGAGAGAAGAAGCTGATAAAGCAGATCTCTGCTTCATCAGCTTCTTTTGGGGTCCACAGGTGATATTAGGGGTCCTAGAGACCCCTAATATCTCCATAAAGAGGACCTGTCAGTGTGCCTTTGCTATTATATAGGGGGTTGCTATCCCCCCATATAATAGCAATAACAATAAGTGCAAAAAAAATAAATATAAATAAAAATAAATAAAAGTAACACATAAAAAAGTAAAATAAAATAAAAGTCACATATAAAAAAAGGGGAAAAAACCCCCCCAAAATGTTTAACTCCCCCACCCCCACGTTTACGCGCCTATAAACGTAAATACGCGTCC